CACACAAGGGTTTCAGAGCATTTTGCCTTCCCTTCTTCCCTTGCTTGCCCTGAGATGTCAGGGAAAAGGTATAGAAATAGATCACCATCTGATGTTATTGACAACTTAGATCCCTTTCACTTATCAGCCAACTGAGTAAGAAAACTACTTTTGAACAATGCCCAGCTACCCTGTGAGAGAGCTTATAAAACAATCTACAGAGAGTCCAAGGGGACTTTGTGGGGATGACATAGATAATGAGAGAGAAAGAAACAAAGAAATAGAAGGCATAGTCCTTGCCCTCAAGGACTTGGTAAAACAGTGAGGGCTTTTGAGCCGGGAAAACACCACTGTCATTACTATTGTAACACCTATCACACAATCTATTTTATCTCTATAGTGAGCTTCTTGCAGGTATCCTTATGCCCAGGGCAGAGCACAGACTAGGTACAAAATAAATGCTTATTGAAATTAATCACAAAACAATCATCAGACCCATTTCATCTAATTTCACAGAGTAGGTACTCAATAAATACCAGAGTGGTTAAACTGAATTGATTTATTCATCTCCTTTCTGGAAACTCTTTGACACTTAATATCTGTATTGCTCATTTGATAGTCTGATGTTGTTATTTAATACTTGAAAGTTTATGTATTTTTCCTTATATATAGCTTGTCTCCACATTAAATTAAAGGTCTTTTAGGCCAGGAGCTATATCTTTTAATTTTTATTATCTTAGATAAAATCTTCTAGGGTACTGAGACTACAGCAGGGAACTCATACATATTTTCTCAATGAATGGACACATGGATGAATAAATGAATGAATTAAACAGAATTGAATTTTACAAACAGGAAATACAATTACTTTGGAGACTAGGTTTAGTGTGAATCCATGCTATAAAATCAGTGACACTATCTCTTTTTCAAAAATAAGGGTGAAATGAATGACTCCTCTGTGACTACCATTTTTTGTTTATGCATAAGATATCTAGGTTTCTGACGATACATACACAAAAAACACAACACAAATACAAAGCTATTTGTTGCTCCATGACTGGGAATGATGCATATTCCTTTTTTTTCCCCCCTGGGCATATGTAACCTCTGTTCATTTTGCTTTGAATTCCCCTGCTCTTGTAAGTATAATGCACTGTATTTAAATGTCTTCTTTATGTTTTTCTCATGGTCAAAGATATCAATAAAGTTGATATTACCAATAAAAATAAAAGAAACCTTGCAAAATGGAAACTCATTTTCACAGACTTAGCAATGAGAAATCCTATAATTATATTGAAACTAGCTAATTGCACAAGCAGAGGTTGTAACGAATCTGACTTGATAACAGCTTGTCTTAAAAAGACCTGGTCATCTGTAGTTAGGGTAGGCTAGACTGACTTAACAACTATGTGATAGTTTAGGGACTGATGTTTCTGACTAGTAAGCAATACTTCTCCATGCAGTGATGCAGGGACCCAGGCTCCTATCTCATGGTTCTGCCATCTGCTAGGTCTTGTCTTCTTGGATCAAGTTGGCAAAATAGGAAAATGGGAGCATGCAAGAGAACATTCATTCCTCTAAAGACTTAGGACTTTGTTGAAAAAAAGCAAGTCTCTTCTGTTCACATACCACTAAAACTATCTCTGGTAGCCACATATAACTAATGGGAGTTGAGAAATATAATCTAGTGGTATATTCAAGAAACAAATGGATTTTTCATGAAAGACTGACAATCTCTGACAGGAAGTTTTAGGTGACCTCAAAATGCAATGGATCAAAGGAAAATGTAGACCATGAATGAAAGTATAAAATCCACAATTAGAGAGGTGAGTAGCTTTAGGATAACATACTGGTACAACTCAGCTGGTGCAGGTGTCTGGGTGCCACATCAATGAAACAGAGCTGGAACAGAGAAGAACAGATCAAGATCACAGGAGTCCAAGAAGCATGTTCAGGGAGAAAGAATGACTAGAATTGGAGATGTTTGTCCTGGGCAAAAAAAGATATGGGAATATACAGTGATTGCTAAAAGCCTTTTAGAAGATGAAGCTGACTCTTTCTGGAGGGTTACAGAAGCCTGAATGATGACTCCAGTAGAATTTAGAAGGATGGGGAATATGTATGTTATTTGCTCTATCCATAGCTCCTAGCACCATGTCTAACACTTCTTATTCAGTAACTGTGTCTGGATAAAATTAATTAGTAAATTAATTACTAATACCCAAATTTCAGTTATGGGTGCTAAGACAGTTTCCTGAGAAACAAAAGTGTTCTGATACTAAAGGCACAGAAGAAGTGGCTGAACGTGCCAGGAATGCCATGGCCATGACTGAAACGAGGATGTTGGAACAAGCCACGACATTCACAGTATTCAGTGTCCTCTAAGCTGAGGTCCCTTCCACCTCTGAATCAAGGATTCCTCATTCCAGAGCAAACTTTTCAGAAGTGACTGTGTCACAGCAGGTGTCAGCATCAAAGCTAATATCAACAGGCATTGCACAAAAATTAATTGACCGGGAGAACTGTCAGAGGAGTTGTGTCTTCATAATTGGAGGAAGCCACCTTTGGAAAACCCTTTCCAGCCCCTTGCCTCCTTGCCAGGAACTTTTGGTGCTACCAGGAGCTTTGGCTCAGGATTTTACCTCCACAGCCTTTTAGCCACTCATCCCTTACCATAGGTGTACTCACAGCCAACGGTCAGAATCACCTATTGGCTACCCTTTCATTTCCCATGGCCCAGCAGCAGTTCTGCTGATTAGAAAGGTCAGTCGCTTCATGATAAAACTCCTCAGTCTTATTTTACAGATAGCCAACCTTTATGTGGATAGGGTCACTAGTCCAAAGTAAAGACTCTAGGGAACACTGGTCATCTTTGCATTTTCAGCTAAGTCTGGAAGGTGGTGTGATTCTTGGAGCTTAAGTGACTAAGAGGGGTCTGAAACACCAGAACTGTAGCATAGTAGACAACTCCAGAGAAAGGTCCAGGAAAATCAGTAGGGGCTGCCCTTTTTCTCTTCTGACAGTGGTCCTAGCAGCCACTAAAGTAACTAGTACCTTCTCTGTTTGTTGATAGTGTTTTGTGTGTTCTTCGTGCCTTTTGGTGTAGCTAGTTCAAGTGAGAATCAAAGGGAGAAAATAGGCCGGGCGCGGTGGTTCAAGCCTGTAATCCCAGCACTTTGGGAGGCCGAGGCGGGTGGATCACGAGAGATGGAGACCATCCTGGTCAACATGGTGAAACCCCGTCTCCACTAAAAATACAAAAAATTAGCTGGGCACAGTGGCGCATGCCTGTAATCCCAGCTACTCAGGAGGCTGAGGCAGGAGAATTGCCTGAACCCAGGAGGCGGAGGTTGCAGTGAGCCGAGATTGTGCCATTGCACTCCAGCCTGGGTAACAAGAGCGAAACTCCATCTCAAAAAAAAAAAAAAAAAGGGAGAAAATATCCAGCAAGGATAAAATTTTAGACAAACCACCACTCATAGCTTACTTCCGTCAGGAGAGAAACTGACAGGGCACAGAAAGAAATGTCCTCTCTTTTAAGAAGAAAAACATTCACTATTCAGTAATAAGAACTCTCCTAAATTGAGTCAGGAACTACAATTTAGCTAGATTAATTTTATGTGTTTATTTGTTTATAGACCTCCCTTGTTCTGGAAGGAATATTAAATGGCTTAAAAGAGACAAAACTCAACAAGGGAGGAGAAAGAAAGAAAACACAAGAGAAGAAATCAAAGGTGGGGATATAAATGAACTCAGGAAGAAGATTCAACTAGTTTAAGTAAACTCTTGTTTTTACTAACAGGTTTTGAAAGGTATGACTATATGCCATAATATTTATCTTTTTAAAAAGTACAAAATAGTGATTTTTAGTATATTTGCAGATTTGTGCAATCAATATTATTCTCTAATTCCAGATTATTTTCATCACTCCACAGAATAAATCCTCTATCAATTAGCAGTTATCCCTAATTTTCTTTCTATAATTCTTGACAACTGCTAACTTACTTTCTGTTCCATTACATTTGCCTTTTCTAGATGTAATTGAACGGTAGGTGGCCTCTTGTTTCTGGCTTCTTTCACTTAGCATAATATTTTCAAGGTTAAACCATGCTGTAGGGTATATTGGTACTTTTTTTTTCTGGTTGAATAATATTCTATCATATGGATATTTCTGTTTTGTCCATTCAATAGCTGATAGACATTCTGGTTGTTTCTACATTTTGGCTATTATACATAGTGCTACTATGAACATTTATGTACAAGTTTTTGCATGAACATATGTTTTCAGTTCTCTTGGGTATATACTTAGTAGCAGAATTTTTAGGACATGTGATAATTTTATACTTAACTTTTTGAAAGAACTTCCAAACTGTTTTCCAAAGCAGTTACACCATTGTATATTCTCAGTAGCAATATATGAGGATTCAGATTTCTCTTTGTTCCTACAAACATTTTCTATTGTCCATCTGTTTTATTATAACCACCCCAGAAGGTCTGTCTTTTAAGCATTGCGTTGTGGTTTTGATTTGCATTTTCCTAATTGTTGATCATACAGATCATCTTTTCCTGTGCTTCTGGCCATGTGTATTTTTTCAGAAAAGAAATGTCTATTCAAATCTTTGCCCTTTTTTCAATTGGGTTGAAATTTTTATTGTTGTATAGGACTTCCTTGTATGTTCTGAATAGAAGTCCCTTATCAGATATGTGAGTTGAGAAATTTTCCTTTTATTGTGTGAGGTGCCTTTTCACTTTCATGCCAGTGACCTTTGAAGCATAACTTTTTATTAAGTTTAATGTACTATTTTTCTTGTTCCTCATGCTTTTGTGTCGTATCTGGGAATGCTTTGTCTGACCAAAGGTCAAAAAATATACTCATGTTTTCTTCTAACAAATTGATATCTTTAGCTCTTACATTTAGGTTTATGATCCATTTTGAATTTATTTGGTGTGCAGGGCTCCAGCTCTTCTTCTTCTTCTTCTTTTTTTTTTTTTTTTTTTGGACACAGAGTCTTCCTCTGTCGCCCAGGCTGGAATTTAGTGGCGGGATCTCGGCTCACTGCAACCTCTGCCTCCTGGGTCCAAGCAATTCTCCTGCCTCAGCCTCTCAAGTAGCTGAGATTACAGGTGCTCACCACCATGCCTGGTTAATTTTTGTATTTTTAGTAGAGAGGGGTATTACCACCTTGGCCAGGCTGGTCTTGAACTCCTGACTTCATGATCCACCCACCTCGGCCTCCCAACGTGCTGTGATTACAGGCATGAGCCACTGCACCCAGACCCTCCTCCTTTTCTTCTTTCTCTTTCTTCTTCTTCTCCATCTTCTTCTTTTCCATGTGTATATCAGGTTTTCCTAGCACAATTTATTGAAAAGACTTATTCCCAATTATATTACATTAGCACCCATGTCAAAAGTCAATGAGCAATAAATATCAGGGTCTATTTTTTGGCAGCCAATTCTGTTCAATTGATGTATATGTCTTTTCTTATGCCAGTGTCACACTCTTGACTGCAGTAGCTTTGAAGAAATGTTAAAATTGGGAAGTGTGAGTCCTTCAACTTTGTTCTTTTTCAAGATTCTTTTGGCTATTCTGGATGCAAAGAATTTTAATATGAATTTTAGGGTCAACTTGTCAATATCTGCAGAAAGTTTCTCCAAGATTTGTTAAGGCTCCCCAAGATTTGTTAAGTCCCAATTTTCTCACAAATTTAAGAAGATTGGTAATTCATGTCCTATAGAGTAGTTGTGAAGCACCCCAAATATTACCCCACTTTAAATCTTTAGAATACTAATTTCAAATCCACATTTTATATTGTTTATCTCATTTTATAAAGTTTCAACCAATTTTAATTGTTATTTTCAGAAAAAATATGCTTTTGCCACATTTATAAACCTAGCATTGTCGTCATCATGCCTCTGGACTCACCAAAAACTGTGACATCTCCTGGTTTGCACGAGGATTAGGTTGGTGCTACTGCCAGGTACCTGTATTAGAATTGGAGAATTCTGGATGTATAAAGGAAAATGGTCTCATCTGCCTTAAGGTGGGATGTGGTTATTCTCAGAAGTGTGAGAAGGAAGGAGTAATTGAAAGGAAGGACGAGTAAGGAGAAAGGGGGAACCTCCTTGACTGCTGGTAGTGTGTAGAGAATTAGATGGAAAGTGGTTTGTCTTGAGAGGTTGGCATCGGGAGGATAAGGCCGAGGAGAAAATGTGTTCTTGCTTGCTATTCCACCTCTAGCTGGAAAGCCCCATTATTTGAATGGACCAGAATCCAGTAATCCAGTTTGTAGGTGTCTGCTCAGCTATCATTTATTCTCCTGGCTGACTCCAAATATAACTCAGAATGATGAAGATACAAGGAAGAGTGTCTTGACCAAAGTTCAAGACTGTGAGGTTTCCTCATTCAGTCTGTCCTCTGAACTTTTGAGGGAGTATCCTGCTGCCACACCTAACGTAGAAAGCAGTCATACAACAGCTTTTTCTCCTCTTCTCCTCTCCCAACTATTTATAGTAACTGATGCCAGGATTATAGTTATCTTAGCTCACATTCATTGACGGTAAAACATTGTTGTATGTTACCTGCATATGAAGTCAGCACAGTTATTATGATCCTGATTCTACAGGTGACAAAACCAAGGCACAAACAGGTTATATACTTTGTCAAAATTATAAAGGTTTAAAGGAGGGTACATCCAGAATTGATCTGAGAGGGACCATACTATACCACGTCAACCCTCTTTTCTTCTGTTTCTTGTATCTTTAGCTCACATGACATTTTCTCAATTTGGCTGTACTTGGAGAATCACAGAATTAGCTTACAGCCCTCAGGACTTAAGACTCTTAAGGGCAGTGGCCTAATTTCATTTCTTCAAGGAAGTGCCTCCCAAAATTCCTGTAGATTACACTATGGTTTCTTGTCTATGAATTCCTATTGCATTCTTTTAAGAAATCAGCACCTGAGTCTGTAACCAATGGATGGGTGTTTCTGAAGGCAGAAAACTGCCTGCCTTCTGGGTTGCTGGCATCACTGACAATGCCAAGACATGCCTCTTCCTCTCTGAGATTGTTGTTACCTGGAGCAGGAGGTTCTCACTAAAGACATGCTGACTCCCTTCTATGGCCTTCATGATGTAACCACCCTACACATTGCTGCTGTTCTGTAATAATAGATTGTCATTCAGAGACAGACAGCAGTGACTGACTCATTCAAGTGTTGAGGAAGGGGTGACGAGAGGGATGACCAGGCAAAGCTAAGTGTTCTTCAGCATTTTTCTCACCTCAGAGCTCCAGTGAGACCAAACCTGGATTGACCTGCTTTTCCCAAACCTTTATCTCTTTGATGGAGTCAAGAAGATGAAAGAAGCTGTTGTCTGAATAACCTATTTGCCCCTCTGTGAGTTGAACTGAGTTGAAACTGCCCATGTCTATCCAAGATCAGGCCAAGATATGAGCAATGTCTTGATGTCAGTGATACAGGCCAGTGTCCTGTCCATGATCAGCATCCTGAGTCTCCATTATTGTAAGTCTTTACCATCTTTATGAGCAACTTTTTTTTCTCCCTGAAGAAACTGAATTTCTTGCCCTGTCACACTAAAAAACTAGAGGGGTTTTGTCTATTTTACTTTGTTTCATAAGCATACATAAGAACTCCTGATTTCATTTTATGTTGTTAATAGCGGGTGGGGTTTTCTCTACTTTTAGATCTCTTCTAGTGCCTCCCCACAAGGATATCAGCCCCTGGTCCTTCCCTGTGTTCAAGTATACAAGCCTCTGGTTGCCCTCTGCCCCTCACGCCCTTTCCGTCCACCGTACATTATTCTTACTTGCCACTGTCTGAAGTTATGGAAGGTGAAGGCAAGGGAAATTGTGGGTATCAATATAGCACTCTGACTGTCATCATCCTTAGGTCTGTACATGCATTATTGCTGTGTAACACAAGGCTGTGTAACACAATGCATGTACAGACATAAGTTCTTTGGGAAAGAAAGGAAAAATGAGGAACGATTTCCATAAAACAAAAGGGCCATTGGACCTGGCTCGAATTTGGAGTGGGGGAGGGGAGGATTCCTTACCTGAAAATGTTGTATCTGGGATGAGTCATTTTGCTCTAATATAATTACCCTCATTTTCTGTGGTGTATCTTTAGCTCTTTGAGGCTTTCATTACTGAGATACCACTAGCTCCATAAGTGGAACTTGTCTTAGAGTATATAACTGACAGATAATTTATATTAGGTTTGATATAATATAATTAATATAACAATTACGTTATATTAAAAATGTAATTGCAGGGTTTGGCATTACTTTTAATTTCAAAAACAGCAATTATGTTTGGAGCAACCTAGAGTTGAAAAGGTCCTTAGAAATCCATGACTCTGGTTCTTTATCCTGCAAATGATATTCTACAATAAAAGGAACTGAAACGACCTCCAAAGTCACTCAACAGAGTTCACGTTAGAACCCAGAAAGCCAAAATCCTGATGCTATGATTCTGCTGCCTACAACCTCCTGCCTCCAGTTAAACAGCATTTTATCCAAGTTATAGAAAAGATGCCACCCTCTGGGTTTCTCACCATTAGGTGATAATGTTCTCCTCACTCTGCTTCGCCTGCTTAAATTCTACTACAGTTCTAGACCTGCCAAACCTCACCCATGGAGCACTCTGAGCTCTCCACTGAAATTATTCATCAGAAAGGGCCTGCTCTATGCTGTCCAGCACCCCATACCTATTCCCTAATAGACATTCAACCCATATTTACCAGTGCTTGACTACATGCCATGGACAGGGGCAGACATTTGGAAGAGCCACAAATGTGCAGCCTTCATATTTATCATCAAGGAACTTCCACAATAGTGGAAGAGAGAAGGTGCAAATGTGTGTGCTCCTGCATACACATACACACACAGGCACAAACTTCACGGCAATAGGTGAGAATTAATATATAACAGATACAAAGAAAATGCTAGGGGTTTTGGAGGAGAATTGAGCACCTCCAGCAGGAGTGAGAAGATGGAAGCTGTTTCTGAAGGAAGTGGCATTGAGCTTCCCTTTTAAGTATAGCTCAGGTTTACTCATGAGAGCCTTTTTCTAGATTATATGTTTATTGTCTGATAAACGTTGGTTTTTGACTCGACTATATGTGAAGATTTTCAAGGAGAAAGACCATGTTCAAGGCATATAATGATAGCTCAATTGATGTTTGTTTTGGGAGTGCTGAATTTTACTTGATTCTCTTATAACTTGTAGCAATAGCATCTAAGGAATGATGAAATTTAATTAAGTTGAGTCTGTAGAGGAGCATATATGTTGTGAAATAAATGCTACTGATTGCCTTCCTTCTCAAAGCCCACTTTATTTCTTGATGTTCACTGAGCACACCTGTCTACATATTTTAAGGAAATGTTTCTTTACAGTACCTTTTCTACATGCAGAGAATGTTTACCCCTCATCTGTGCACTATCATGTACACAGGCTGTCAGCCACTCTCTTTTCTGCTCTCTTCCTCCCTTCTTTCTTCTCTCTCCTGGTTACTGGCCTTGTCTGTCAAGAATAACCAAGGATGCAGTGAGGACAGGTGGTGCCTGTGTCATCCCAGGGCTCTTGAGGTCTGGCCCTGGCACTTCTCTTCAGTGTCAGCAACCACAAAACAAGAAGTTCCCTCCCTCTGGCTTTGGCTTTTATCCCAGAGGAACCACAAGTTCTGGAGCTAGGAAGCTGAGTGTTTAAAAGAGGAAGAATATATTCTTTGAGAAACCCATTTTTCTAAGCCCATTTTGACTTGGCTCTAAGATCTGCCTTTCCTGATCCAGCAGGTCAGTAGGGGAGGTTTCCTTCATAAACGCACATTGATGGGCTTCTACATCAATGAACACCAAGTTCAGCTTCCCATATGCCCACAGAACAAGTCTCATGCGAGACAGAAATTGAGTTTTCTTTTAATTATGGAAGTCTAGGGGTAAGAATGTCAGGACTGGTGAGTCAGCTTCATTACATCACCAGGGACTGAGCCTTCTCCTGCCTGCCCTTCTGCCGTATTTAGATCCATGCTTCTGCCCTCCTGGCTACCTCTCTTGGTTATATTCAAGTGTAAACTCTCTGGTTCAGACTATGGGTGCAGTGGGAAAGCAGAGACGTGCATAGAGCGTGCAGGGCCAGCTTCCCAGAAGACAGAGACTAGAGGTGGGTCAGGACTTAAAGCTGAGTACAGCTTGAACATACAGGGCAGGAAGAGCTGGAAATCATAAGGAGATGTTCTTGGAATGGGCTAGAGTGGTAAGCAAAGTGATTTCCCTGCACTTTAGTCAGGCTCTCACACTGGCTACCATTACTTGTCCAAAGTGGAGCCTCCCTGTGTTGGTGGAGTAGTGAGAAGAGAGTTCATCTCTGCCTTGGGCAGCTCAGAGCTATATGTATGTTGACTTTTCAATGTGGTCTCTCAGGTATCTTTGAATGGCCCACAGTGACTACAGCCAACTTTGGAAAGATCAGGGTGATGCCATAACATGGCTGGGTGCATTCCATTTTTAGTTACTGAAACGGCGTGGTTCATTGGTTTATTTTTTGTTTTCACTATCCCTCCATTCCTTTCTCAGCCTTTTGCAATACAGAACGTGACTGTCATTCTGGTGAACCAAAAAAAAGTAATGCAAGGCTCAGGCTGAGTCTCAGACCTGGCCTTTCAGTGTCCACAGTTAGACTCAGTGTAGACTGTCTGGAACTACAGAAGACATTCTCATCATCTCTACTCCCAGACATGCCTTTCTTCCATATTCTTTATATGTGTTTTCCTTTTGCAATTTGTACACGCTTTGCACAGATGTCAACTCAAAGTAAATTGCAGTGTTGTGAGTTACCTGTGATGGGAATATATGTCATTCAGAAACATGGGGATCACCATTAGCTATTGATTATGAACACACTGGCCTAAGACAGGACTTGACTCTAATGAGGCTATTCCCTACCCTCTAGGAAATACTCTACTCTTAGGCAACAGAGAGCATACTTGAGCTATTGGAGAAATCACGCGTTGTATTTTGCTTTGCCATGTCAACGTCAAGGATTGAAGTTTTATTTTCCGTCTTGTTTGGTTGTTTTCACTGGTCAGGATCAAAGTCACAGTTTCTCTGTGTGATACGTAAAGACTGGAAGTAAATGAATGGATTGGGCATTCTATTCACTTTTTGAGTGACTGTCACCTTTTAGATTCTAATAGAAGGAGAGACTGTTCATGCCATAGTCTATGTAATCAAATGGTGGTGGGAAGTGTTAGGAAGAGGTGAGGATGGATACCACTGGTTGCACAGCCATTGGGCTGAGGTGAGATTTTTAGAAGGTTAATATCTGGAAGGAGCCTAAAAATTCAACCCCCTCATGTTATAGGCGAAGTACTAGAGGAATAGAAATTGGACTTGAACCCAGGACTACAATTCCCAAAACAGTGCTGTTGGCAGCCAGCTTTCCCAAAGCTCTATCAACCCCAGGACTCCACCCAAGCAAACGTCCTGACGAAAATTGCTTCTGCAGCTGGCTGCTGGAATAAGCTCTGGCTTTTTAAATCAACACTTATTTTAATACTTTCACAGATCATAGACAAGCAGAAGAGTCTATTTTAAAAATACTAAAATTTACTAAGTTAATCGTTCAGGTTGTAACTGATATTGTTACTGCATCGTAAATATGTGGTTTATATTGATTTGAATATAACTGTGGAAATCCATGATGAAGAAATCTTGCCCACTGCATGCCCAACTTGGTGATTAAAGATCCTTGATATAATAGGGCATCCTTGGGAGGAAGCACGGGGGAACCTTTTCCCACTGCATTTCCCCCTCACTTCATTATGCTCCAGGATGCCAGCTCTCCAAGCAGTTCTTCTGACTTCAGAAATGTCATTAAGGACCAATCCCCCAAGGAAGTATGCAGTTTTATTTGGTGTCTCAGGGAAGAATTATGAATATTTTCTTCCAGACTATAGGATGTTAGCAGCAAATAGAGGATACAAGCCATTCAACTAATCAATGAGTCAATTAATAAGTATGCACAAGGCACTTAACAATGTGTGCAGCCCTATGCTAAATGCCATGGGAATATAAGAGCAAATATGATCTCAGCCTTCAAGGAGCTCAGAGCACTGATTCGAAGAAAAAAGATAAAAACACATAAAAATAATAGCTAATAACTAAGGACTCAAATGTGCAGTATTGACTGTTAATAGTAATCAGTGTCCGATGCACACGATGGGAGATGGCTGAACAATCAAGAATTCAGAGAAGGCTCCAGGCGGAACCAGAGCAGGGCTTGACTTGAACAGAATGTAGTTAAAGCAGTGAAAAGAGACGGTTGGGAAGAGTCAAGCACAGGCACCTGCTACAACTTACTGCGTGCCCTAGGCAAAGCATTGCACTTATTTAATCTTATTCTGTCCCCATGAGATGGCTGTTACAATATGATCCTCATTTTACAGATGAAGAAACCGGGCAAGGGGCAAAGAGACTAGATGTTTGTTCCATATCACACACT